CTGCGATCATTACAATCTTAATCTGTTCCAGTCTACGATTAGCCGTTATCGTCCCATCATATTCGCATAAGCCGTGTCTCTTACTCTGTAATCCTTTACCTCGAGTGACTCCCAGACCTTGTACAGGATGAACATCATTGTCAAAGAAAAAATCCTGTTTGATATCAAAAACCTTATATGAAAGTTACAAATCTTAAAACCATCTTTATCTGCAGGCAGCGTCCGCCGTCAATTTATTGTGTAATTGATAAAAATTAATTTAAAAATATCTTAAATAATCTAGTCCATGAAAATACATAAGCGATTTCAATTAGCAAGTATCCAACTATTTTACTTTCCCGAAACACACAAATAAAGCATAATCTTTCTAAAGTTAGCATTCATTTTTGTCATTAATATTGAAAATTGTAGTTCTCCGTATAATGTTCACAAGAAAGAAAGCGTCATCTCTTAAATATTATGAATTGAGATGCGAAAACATTTCTTTTACAATATTAAGTCGAGTCATAAATTATTTCCGTTTTAGTGAACCAGATACAATGAAGAATGCATAATTATTAATAACAAGTGGTGGTTAAGAAAAAAGTTTTAACTCGTTACAGGAAAGGTGCAAGGGTCACGTGCTCCTCTCCCTCCGAATTTATGATATAGCCCCAACCTCGAATCTATGATACCCCCGCTACTCTACTACAATTTTCATAAACTAGTATTGAGATAAAATAAAAATTTTATTGTAATCTAATTATGTAAAATAATGGATCATATGCAATATAAGTGAATAATTCAAGTAGAAAAATTCAAAATAATTACAATGTATCTAATACAAATTAAAGACATGCTATAATAGAACATACCATCTTAAATAAATCTAACAATGTTTTGCGGCAATTTTGTAGCATCAATTTGAGATTTTTCTTGTTAAAATGTTGAATAATTGCAACAAGTTCAAAATTATGGATAAAAATTAATGAATTCTATATAGTGTTTTTCCGAAACTTAGCATGAGCAAAACAAATTCAAAGATTTTTAACAGAAAAAAAGCCCTCAAAATGACGTCAAAATCCACGAAAAATGTTCACCCTTTAATAGTCAGTTGTGCTTAGTTTAATTTTTAACGTATATAAATGTAGGTAGAAAAAGCAAATGCTGGTAAGATAGCGAAGAACACAAAGCACTACTCAAGCCACACCAATCAGGCTTGCACCCTCGTTTGGGGAATCGGAGGTAGTACCCACCGGACCTGTCTCACTAACATACCTTCAGCGGTAGCGTACATGGCGGATTAAAGTAAAAATCGTGTTCTCCGTGACAACGGAAATGTAATGTAATTGTACTTTAGTTTTTGAAGAACATAGTTGATAAAAAAAATTATTTATGACCAAATCTAATAAGTTATTCGCATATGATGGAATATTTCAGAAAGTACTAATTACGAAGATATTTCATTTTGTTCGAGGCATATTAAGTTGTTAATTTACGTGAGTCGTTCATTGAAGATATGTCCTGACACGTTTTAATACGAGACGAGACGCGACAATTGGTGCACTGATTAATCCTTTTCCACAGAGCCTTTACCAAGAATTATACAATTCACCCATCATATGATGCATAGATCTTTCTTGAAAGGCTTGCATCTGAAACTAGCACTGCACCTCATTAATCAGTGTAACATAGCACGTGATATACATAGCAACATTGTCCAGGTGCATGACATTGCTCCAATATACAATACCAATGACTGTGCAAATGGAGGAACTCTTTTGTAGCTAAGAAATTATTCCCTATACCCTCTATTCTTAGGACAATACTTATTTTCTACCACCTTCTCTCCTTGAAGCTATATTTGAAAGGCAGGTACTTCGAGAATGTTAAAATACTGATTAAACAAACGTGACAAAGTCAACCAAACTTAATCGCGGCTACCCCTTCCCTTTCACGAGATAATTTGTGAAACAATTTTCACGGAAAATATAACCGATATATCTTTAGGATCTAATTTGCCTAAATATTTTTCTGAGCAGAGTTGAAAAACGGCAGTGTCAAATATTGATAAAAAAACAGCTATATATTGGGATGTTGGAAAGTTCTCAGACTGACCCACTTTCTAAAATAGGATCAAATGACAGAACATCAGAATATTTCAATGACAACAGAGAGTTTTCTCTGGCTGGCATCAGCATAGCTGATACTAAACTACAGGAGAGAAAACACTACGCCTTCTTGGCCTCACGTTTTCCACTGACATGACGTGGAGCGACTATATTGAATCAACTGATCGTCTACTGGAATCTTTCTATTCCAAATCCATCTGCACATTTATAAATCTACCATTGGTCCGTGTATTGAATTCTGTTGCCATATATGTCCTGGTGCTCTTGTTGTACATCTCGAGATCTTGACAAAACCCAAAGAAGAATATGTAACGTTGTTATATACCGTACCTGTGAACACTGATGTGTATGTCCTAAGCCTCATAAATACGTTGGACACTATTGTAAGTGGGGGTAATATGTTGTCTAAGTAGTCCACCACTAGCAGTGGTTTACCAACTGCACGCTGCTTGTGAGTAATGTATTTTGTTGATGTTATAAAGATTACCATTTCCTTTCCAACCTTCATTTTGGTTATTCCTCATTCAGTAACCTTTCCTATGTTACAACAAACGTAATCGATCCTGATTTGGCATCTCGACTTCAGTCAATTTCTCACCGATGTGGCATAGCTTCTCTCTGTCTTTTCTACAAATATTTTCATGGCATCTGTTCTGACGAGTTCTTTTTTCTTGGTGCCACAACCACATAATTTAATCTTGATACTAGATTGGCATTTAGGTCCCACGCGTTTACTGGCTCTCCTACTCGAAAATTTTATTTTTTCTCACTTGATTCCTTGCTTCCTTTTTGTTCTTCCTCAACCTTTCCCCATTCACAGTCTTTTCATTCACTTTCACTTCCTTTAATCTCTTGCGTTCTAGAGGCATTACCTGCTAGCTTGGCTGAGGGTGGTTGGTGGTTAAAAAATGATAATGAAAATGTGTCAGGAAAATCTTCAATGAACGCACCATGTAAATTAATAACTTTATTTGCAATATCTTCATTTTCGTAATCATGATAAAAAAAATGTCTTAGTCGATCCAAAGACGTTTTTTTTGCATTGCATCTCTTCGTAAATACCGTATTGCGTCAATGTATTAAATAGGGAATTCCTGTCTGGAAAATCAGTATTCGGAATATTTTTTGGCTTACGGCCATATAGCGTCGAAACACCAGTTCCGTACGACATGCAAAGTTAAACAACGTTGAGTCTGGTATGTGCCTAGATGGGTGACCGCTTGTGAATACTCGGTACTGTAAGCTTGTATGTGCGGCTGGTGTAATGGATAATGTTTCGGAATTGCCAATCGGAGATCCGAGTTTCAATTCTCGTTGTATTCGTTTTATTAACTTACGCAAAAATACCGTAGGGAAAGGTATAAATCCATCTCTGCTACCACAAGCTATGTGCTAAGAATTGTATCACTAAATGATTATTACCTAAAACATATCTTGCAATTGAAACATCTTTCCTGGCTTTAAATAACCTACAAAGGGTGGATAAACCGCAGAAAACGAATCAACCAAACAAAAAAAAAAATAGAAATATTTTGTATAGCCAGGAAACATTGAAGTATATATAACATAAATCTTTTCGCATGTTTTTTTTTTTTTTTTTTCTTTTTGCTTTTATTTTTGGTAGGCGTGAAATTACAGAGATGAACATAAGTACTTAATATTTTTGGGCTCAAACATCCGGGTACATATCATAGATCAATGTTCAGTAACAAAAACATTAATAAAAATATAAATAAAAGCACAATCCGTAACGCACAGATATACACGCAAAATCATAAGTACGTTTAAAATTACAGAGATGAACATAAGTACTTAAATTCCAAAATTATACCTCTGAAGGTTAATTTCAAATTAATATCTACTGGCACTCTTCGTTTGTCAAAAGATCAAAGAGACTAGCTGACGCCGGGGCGTATCCTTTGCCAAACAGACAGCAAACTGTTCGAGTAGGGGAGGTGGCATGGTGGGGTTCCATTCGCTAATAACTTTAACAATATTGACAATGTCTCTATAATGAAATAAATAATTAGCAAAGATTAACGACGATACTAAGACGGCTGGCTCGACAGATTATGAATCCAGGACAAAACCCAGCGGACAAACGCCCAGCTTCTTCTTATCCTAAAAGTGAACAAAATCTCAGTCTCATAAATAAATTGAAAAAAATTCTAGTAACATTTAATTCAAGTTTTAATTTCAAATTGGGACAATAATACTATCCAGTATAAACACTATACAAGACAAATTTGTTTCTGTCGATTACTTTACCTGTTTATGGGACCGTTTATTTTTTTTGTTTTTTGTTTTTGTTTCTGCAGCAGAAATTCATAGTAAATTCAACTAACGACTAAAACATTTTCTAACAATGCTATAGTCATATATTCGATATATTTCATAATTAGGGATTTCTATTATAGCATAAGCCCTGACTTTATGCGAAGAAAACCTTATAAAGGTTATTTTAAAAAGGTTTTCAAAACGTAAACAAACTATGGAAATTGTATACGAATTTAGACTAAGCAATAAAAAAAACTTTTTCTAACAATGCTGCGGTCATATATGCGATATATTTTATAGTTAGAGTGTTCTAATATCACATAAAACTCGAATTTTTGCGTGAAAAAAATGTGAAAAATCACGATTTGGTATTAAAATTCGAATAAAATGTTTTTGAATTTTCAATTTAGTTGAGCCATAAATAATTTCCTTTCAGCTAATGCAATTTATTCTTCTAAATAGTACAAAAATCACTTATAACTTAAAAATATTAAAGGATACTTTTTTTTCATATTTTCAGGTATAGGACGGCTGAATTTTGCAGTAACTCCTCCTCCGACGAAAACAGTCTCAATCGGAGAATCCTTTAGACTTTTCTGTAAAGTGGAAAGTATGCCTTCTGCCAATATTTACTGGAAAAAAGACGGAGAACGAATCATACAGGTAAGACACAATTATCAATCTTTCCTCTTCATGTCTATGCTCACATGTGTATCTATAAATGTACACCAATCGTTTCCCGGTTGTTCTATCTTTCATTTAAACATTTGTATTACATATATTTGTATTGCATATATATTATAATAGTTAAATAATATGATTTGATTCATTTTTCAAGCGTCCGACAGATTTTCTTATGCTACGGAGTATTAGGTTGAGTCAAAATTTATTTCCGTTTTGGGGGACCAATTTTAATGACGAATGTATCGTTCTAACTACTCGTAACTACTAACAGCTGGCAATTAAGATTATATTTGGTGTGTACTAACGAACATGACAACAACTACCAAGCCTCTAGGTATATCGTGCGTTGATTTTCCTCCTATTCGACCTGTGAGTGTCAGATTCTCCAATACCTCCTTTCTCATTACGTGTCCCAGAAATTTCCGCTGTCTCTTCCTGATGTTAAGTTCAAGCTTCCTCCTACAATGCATTATCAGTTTACTTATAATATTTGTGTGAATTATTAGCACTTCACCGCCAATTAAGAATTGAAATAATTCTGGTAGATACTTATGCAAAGATCACAGTAATATTCTTGTTCATTGCATGGAATGTGAAAAGGTATTTCAAGTGGAGTCAGCTTGATCATAAAATGTTTTAAAAGGTCACACAGAAAATAAAATGAATCTTGTTTTTGCATATTTGAAGTTCTGATGAAATTCTTTTAATTCGTTTCTATTTCCAAAATATTTTTTATTCATTTATTTATCCTATACAAATCAGAAAGATTGCTAAAGTCAATATATAGCAAAATATTAAGAACTAAATCTGTATGTTTTTAATGAGATGTTAGAAAACACCATGGCACTAATGCTATGAAAATTCTCCAGATTAAGAGGAAAAAGTTAATTCGCTGTTTAAAAGACTCCAAATTTTATCATATCTAAATATGATAAACTTTTAAGACTGATCGATCTACTTTTTAACTGATATTTTTCAGTACCATCTAATATTCTTGCTTCTCAAATATTGTAAAATTTATACTGAAATTATCTTTATTTGGTGCCTTACAGTTGTGGCTAGATTTTTAGTCTAGCCCCCAAATATATTTAAAAGATTTTCAAAAACTCATATTCCCAAATGTTCGCGAAGATATTTAAACCATACTTACCTTGCTAGCCGGGCAGCGTGGTTAATTTCATTACAATCTGCTCAAGAACCAAATGCCGTCCCCCCAAGTAGCATTCCTTATTCGGGAATCAGCTAGAGTTAATCCCTGTTGCCTGAAGTTCATTGGTGATGTATTCGTGAAAGTTCTCAGAGTCACCACTGTGTTGAGAGCTGACTAAAGCTAGAATGGGCCCGACCTTCCCTGGGCAATATTCTTTATATAGAGCTTGACCTCCATGTCCAGAACATCGATGTAAGCAGTGGCACTAACACTGACGCTGTGTCTCGCCCTATGCGTCCCGTGCGGAGGCAATATTCTCATCATCTGTTCTTCTAGTTATTTTCATGAAACTCACTATGCCCGCATGATATTATACGGATTTATTGACGTTTTCTTTCTACATTCTTTTTTTATTTAGGGTGACGACTTCGGCTTGGAGGATAATGAACCTTTGTATGAGGACCAAGCAATTGCGGCTAATCGACCCACAGTTCGTCTCAGTTCTCAGACGTCTCGTGTCTATGTTGACTGCTTCACTCCGGATAAAGCCGGAATATATGAATGCGTGGCGGAAACACCCTACAAGAGAATAACACATAAAACCATTGTAAAACCAAGTAAGCAAATTGAACGCTTGTTATGATTTGTGTGTAAGTGGGTATTTGTGGCTATGTATGTGTATTTGTAGGTGAGTCCTAGCATAGTTTTGGCTCCAATATACATACATACATATTTATATATTTATATATATATATATATATATATATATATATATATATATATTGTGTATATTTTGGCATCATGTTTTCTTTAAGACATATCCCATCGAATAATTTAGACAAGTTTCGTCTACTTATTTTCTTATTATCCTTATTAAAGGAAGACAGAAAATGACCAATGTTGATAGATATTCATTTATTCCGAGTATTTTCGACATTTCACAATGTCACCGCCAGTGTTGGTTTTTTTTCCCTGGGACAAAAGTGTTGTGTTCATCGGAAAGTTAATTTTATTTAAACGGTGTATTATGTTTTATGTACTGCACGGTTTCGATTTCACGATGTAATCGTAAGTGGAAATAACCCAGTTTTTCTTAGAAAAAGAAAAAACCTGTATCAACATCGTTATTTCCTCTTTTCCTTAAATAATTGTTATGGTCCGGTTCATTGTACCACGGTGATAGTCCAAGGCAGAACCAATAAAGAACGCGAACACAGGTATGGAATAACACAGATATATTACAAACAGCAATATATACAGAGAAGTAGAAGTGTTAGTATGAACAATCAGGTTTAGTAGAGAGAACAATGTAGTCTCGACCAGTATCACTATTCCAGTGTCTTGCAGTAAATGTCTGAACGCGATTCTGTTTCGGACTGCCTCTGACGACTCTTGACTCGACTCGAACTACTGACTCCTCTTGAACTACTGACTCCTTGCCTACTCCTGAGACGCAGTATTTATTAAGTATGGAGTAATCCATTATTATTATTATCGGTAAGATCCCATAACAATAAGGATACTAAGAAGCTTGTCCGTGAATATGGGAGGATCCTATTGAAAATAAGTTGGCAAAACTTTTCAAAATTATTCAATGAGATATGTCTTAAAGAAAACTATATATATGTATATATATATATATATATATATTTATATATATATATATATATATATATATATATATGATGCATAAATTATGTATCTTTTATGGAATATGCATATAAATTAAACTGTTGCAAATGAAGCATATTTCAATTGAATTGCAGCTCACAAGATTTGAGAATTTTGATTATTGTGCGTTTTCTTGAGGCGACTCATCCCTACGAACGATCCATCATATCACCATCTCCAGAGAAATTGCGAAAAAATCTGAGGAACTTCTAAGTGCTACTTAGCGCAAGAACCGCTCTTGAAGTCAAAGCTACATTTCTCCTAGAAAACAAAAGAACAGTAATCACGAAGACAGTAGATAATGATTGAGAGTCCATTTTAAGATCAAAGTTAACTAGAAAGAGAGTTCTATGAGTGAGAAGCTTGAGAAAAGAAACTGTTCGCGTGGAACTTAGCTAATTCAACTGTAAATTAATGAGACTTTGTAGCCAATCTAGTAATGTTTTTCAATTCATTAAGTGGAAGTACCATAGAGAAGATTTCATTCGAACAATAATTATGAAAGTATTTATAGTAAAGGCAAAGGGAAGCAAATTTTAGTCAATGTGAAAGTGATTGAAGACAAGATACCAGGTCAGGACGAATAATATAACTGATACGTTTTTAGATATCATTAGTTTTAACAATATTCCTACTGCCATGTTCATAATAGCAGATACATTAACATACTGATACATGAACCTTTTGTGCGTGTTTGTGTGTATGAAGAAGAGAAAAAAGAAATTAATAAGCATGAGAAATACCTTTTGAGTCTGAAATGTCGATGTAAATATTCGAAAATTCACTGCAACCGATGTATGAGAAAGAAACACGTTTATGCTTGTTTAAAACCAATTAATTGATATTAATATTTTAATATCAAGTATCTTGACTTTAATACTAATTTTATTAAACCTGCAAGTGAGAACTCGATAGTAATTCTATTTATTTTTACTAAATTATATAAAGTTATTAACAGAACTAATTATCACTAATTGTAATAAGAATATTTTTTCTATTCGCTATATCATCGTCATTATTACATTTGAGGAAAAAGTTCAACTAACAAAAAAAATACTAACCAATGACCAAATTTTACATTGCCCTTAACATAAAACTAAACAGCATTTAAACTATATAACATAACTTATTACAAGGGAAATAATTTTGTCCATTTAAAATATAATATATATATATATATATATATATATATATATATGAACATTGATTTATATATGTATAATTACATAAATGTGCATGCGTATATAACATGTAAATAGATTCCTATGCATATGTACATACATATACACACATATATATGTTTATATCTACATCTATATATATATATGTGTGTGTGTGCGTGCGTGCGTGTATAATATATATGTGTGTGTATGTGCGTGTATGCGTGTGTGTGTGTGTGTGTGTGTGTGTGTGTATGTGTGTGTGTGTGTGTGTGTGTGTGTATGTATGTATGTATGTATGATACCTTCTGGCAAGTGACAGTAACTGTTACGACAATCGATGAAATTTTGAATATACCATCAATCAGGTAAATGAGAAATTTCATATTTGTATATCCTGTATGTATATATATATATATATATATATATATATATATATATATATATATATATATATATATATATATATATATATATATATATATATATATATATATATATATATATATAGTATTTATTGAGATAACAATCGCTCCTTTATATAAGCTTAAATGCTCTTTTTGTTGACTATTTGGCATTTTAGCTTAATTTTCCTACAGTTCGGCCCATGTTCTTGGTTTTCAGTACATATTTAAATATAAAATTGTCCAAATTCTGGGTAGTTTGGTCTTTCAGACCTTGACATTTTTTTTCCATTTGTGGAAATGTATTTTCATTGTTTTTTAAATTTATTTCATAAATAAAAAAATCTATAAGACAACTCGAATTAACGTATTTGGTAAAAAATTTGAAAAAGAAAATGTCCGACGGGATGCGTGAAAATGCGATGGTTGAAAAACGATGAAAATGACATACCACAAATATAACGAATATTCTCTGTTAATAGGTTATGAAAGCCGACAACAAATATTTAAACTTTCACCGGAATGAATCATCATATATATAATATACTTAATGAATATACACATTTTAAATAGTGCATTTGCCGCAATTACAATAGAACAATTTTGTGCACTTATATAAATAGATATATATTTATACATAGATCTTGACAATACACGCTGACACACAGGAACATATGCAAAAACACATGCACTCACCCTCACCTATATAAATGAAAATAGGACGGTGAATTTTTGTCATTCCAACCAAAAGTGGAATGGTCTACATCCCCGAAGCGTTCATGATATTCCTCAAAATAACCGCAGTTCAAAATTTTATAATTATTTTTCGATTTTTTGTAAACCTTCCAACAAAGGAGTTTTGATATTTGGTCATTGTAATAACCATGTCCGAATCATTAAATAATACTTTCCTTTCATAATCATTTTACTGCTAAAAAACAGGAAATATTCAGAAAAATCAAGACTTGGTGAGTAGATAGGAATTGATTACAAACAAGAAATTCTCCAAAACATCCATCCCTTTGCTAACCTTGTGAAAAGAAGAATTCTCCTTCATAATGAAAAGATCTTACAGCCACAGCGAGTTTTTTCCTTTTTTCTTTTTTTTCCCCTCATTTAATCTGCATAAATATTTAGAGTAATTTACTATCATTAAGAATTTAACTTTTTCCAAGACAGTCACTGATGAATATAGTATTCTTTGTCTCCCAGATAGTTCGTTAATTCCTGTCCCGCTGATCTTCAGGTATCCAGGTTGTCGTGTTTTGTCAACAGTGACATGGTCGAAAAAGTTATCGCGTGATCGCTGAAAGTGATGCAAAAATGCCCGGCATAAATACATATTGATATTAACTTTTTTTAAAATCATTTCACCTCCACAAGCAAGACAATAATGCTACTAAGGCTCAAGGGCTTAATAGGAGTGATAAATAACGTGAAGACTTTAGAAGGAACCTGAAACCGAATCCTAAAGAGGAATCAAGAGATAAACCCCAACTTCTTTTCAGTATACGGGGAAGGAGTATGAACTGGATAACTTGAAGAAAGGTTTCAGCATACACTCAACTGCTAATGAATTATAAATTCTCTAATTTCATTTGATATCTCACCTGTTTGCAGTTTCTTTGTCCGAGATTCTTTGATCCGTTAAAGGCTTCTGAGATCTTGCTGCATTTGGATATCAAAATCTGCACGATGATACACCACATCTCACAATTGAGTACGACGGGCATTTGTTACTCATTGTTCACATGATAGAAGGATGGATTCCATTAGGAGATTTCTTCTGCATGCACAGGGACTTCAGCACTTGAAAACTCTACAGATTTCATTGACAGAGATCAGTCAATGCTCTGAAACAATTTCAAAAATATGTGTAAGCATCCAGTCAATTGAGATTTTACAGAATATAAGAACACCCTCAGTTCCGCTGTGGTTGTTTAAGATATAGTTCAAACTGAGAAATATTCGTCAACCCTTATCGATGTCATACTTGACACCAAATTCTCCAGTGATATCTAAAATGTCAGCTGTACAGAACCGCTTTCTAAGATCAATGGTTAAAAATGACTTCCAAGAATGTCGTTCTTCGCGAGGACAAATCTTCTACGAATTTTGTTGACTAGAACTTGTGGGATCCGAATGTCGATGTTACACGAACCCCGCAAACATTAAAATTGAAGAAATGACACAGGCCAAGTCAAAGATAACGAGAACAAGAAATTTAAATAAAATATGCCAAAATTTATTATTGGCAGAAAAATACAATCTAAGAATCCAAATAACTTGGTGGCCATGCTGGGAGTTAACTGTTGGTCTTAGATGCGTCGACAGTTGATGATGACCGGAGCAATTCGAATGGTATCTATGGTTGATAGAAAGTTCTTGTCTTGCGTTAGTACCAACCGGCAGACGTAGCCCAAGGCAGATGGTTCTTGGTAACTAGAAGATGATGACGAAACCAACTGGGAAGTGTCGAAGAATGATAGGCAGTCAGCGAAGGTCGATAGACAGTCGGCGTGTTGAGCTGGTACTATCAAGCAGTCTTAGCTGAGGGTAGGCGGTTGAAATGACGGCGATGATTGACAGCGGGGAATGAAACCTGAATCACCGAGTGGGTTGGTAGAAGATGTGGTCGGTGGAAGTCAGTCGGTCGCTAGTGATCGCTGGTCCGGGACATTTTCTTTTCAAATCAACCATCTCCTGGAGCGCCTAGTCGCTACAGGCTTATGGCGTAGGAGTGTTACTGCAGCGCAGAGTTCTGACTCTACTTCCGGTTATAAATGAACGTCATAAAAATAACTCTAAGTTATGAAGTATAATGTAATTGGTCATAATAAAACTACCAACAGGGAGAAAATAGTATTGGTTTTGGATAACCATTGCAATATGTCTCCGAAACAATGTATGGAATTAATAAACCCGAAACAATGTATGGAATTAATAAACTCGAACCAACAGTTCAAGGTTGAATTGAAAGAGTCTGTTTGCTGAAACAAGAATAACAGAGTAGAATGTCACTACGATAAATTACATAATCATAGACAAATAACTGCATCGAATAACAGGAACCACCTGATTTTCAACAGTAGTAACAACTCAAATAAATATCAAATGTAACACAATTATAATGATGTAACCAAGATATTGGCGTTCCACATGACTTCGAACAAATGGTTAAGAAGGAAGCCCACATCAATTCTGGAAATTGCAATAACATTTACTGAACTTGGGAAATTTATCTTCCTGAAAATTGTTGCAATAGAAAGAATTATAAATTCCAACAGAAAGTAAGTCTGATCGGTCAGTGAACGCCTATAATGAAACGCCTATTTTTACCATTACTAATCAATGTGTGTGTTTGTATTTGTGCGTATGTTCACATGATATACGAAACAAATTTGCTAATTCATTGTCCTAAAAATGTACCTATAAAAGAACTATTCTAAATAATAAAGACTGAATAGAACGTATTTGAAAGAAAGATAAAGAAAAACGCAGTGAGACAGATTTTTCAAACAAATTCCCAGCAAATATCAAGGAGTCTGTGGCCTGCTAACTTTTAATTTCCGGACAATGCTACATCGCGATTTTAGTTTCAAATTTGGCACCGATCTTAACTATTTTATTTGATTATATCCTTTAATTACTTTCGTTTTTATCCCTGCACGTTGAAAATAATCACAAGTTTTTTCGTTATTTTTGTTTTTACATTGTCGCTAGTTTAATTTTATTTGAATTGCTTGCATTGTGTTTTGACCTAATCGTCTTTTTTATCTTCTTTTTTAACTTCCCTTTTTTTTACCCATTATTCCTTCTGTTTTCAGTTATTATTTTATTTGTCCCTTTTTAAAGTTATGCTTCGACCGTCTTTCTTTTTTGCAGCCTGTGTAGTCACTGACCCGAGTTTTTACGCGGCTGGTTATATCTTTCGATTATTGAACCACGTGCTTTGCAGCGGTGAGATTCTATATTGTGTCATATTGATATATTTACAACTCTATGAAAACACACTGCCCTACTATTCGCCTCTCTACATGATAACCTTGTCTGAGCTTTTCTTCTTTTTTTCTGGCTAAAACTTAGAAGCAGCCAGTTGTTTGCTTCCCGCCTAAAGCGCCAAATAAAATCCAACCTATTATTATTATTATTATTATTATTATTATTATTATTATACTCAGCTTTTCCAAATATCAACAGGTATGCAAACCGTACAATAAATACTTCAGTATCCACTTCAGATAATATTTTTGCAGCTAAATTGTCAAGAAATTCACACTAGTTAATGGCAGCTTAACTTTTAGTAAACTGTTAAGATTTTATAGTTTAAAAAAGCGGAGACGTATTGAAAATAACTGGCAAATATAACAAGTGATATAATTCTTCCAATCCGAATACTTTTCTATCAGCTTTCATCAGAACAGATCGTTGATGATGATTTAAAATTTTAAACCATGAGAGCGAATTACCAATAAAAATGTGATAAATCACTTTAAAAATGAACTTTACCTGTTGCGGTTTTTTGTTTTGCTTTTTTGTTGCTTTTTTTTTTGTCATGAGACGACAATTAAGTTCTAATTTTAAACTATTTTACTTGGAACTTGGCTCTCCGATTTCCAATTCTGAGTCGTTATAAATTACACTAGCCGCACATCCAAGTTTACAGCACCTGGTAATACCAAGCGTTCACCCGTCTAGATAGTGTCCAAACTCGGCGTTGCTTAACTTCGCCGATTGTACGGAGTTTCAACGTGATATGGTCGTGTGCCACCACTGATGAGAGATGATCGAAAATTTCTACGCTTATGAAGAATTATATCACCTGTTCCTTTTGAAGTTAATTCCAACATATCTCCGATTTTTAAAGCCACATTCAGGCTCTGAAATGTTAAACGGACATGTTTACTATTTTATTATTTTATTTTGCTAGTGGTCAGTTAATTTAACTATTAAAATAACGTTGAATTAACTAACATATAAAATGGGCTAGCCTTTGTTTATCTGATATCTCACTGTATCAAAATCTCTAAAGAATACAGGTATTAATCCCTCGATAAATCGAACATTTATCAGGAGATATTAGGATACGATTTTTTCGTTAGGCTAATATGTCCTTTATCGGGACATACGATTCAATTTCATCTTGCCGCTTTAAAAAATCTGAAATTCAAAACTACGTTTTTTACGTGTCATTGACTTTACAATAATAATAATTCTTCTAACATATCGATGATGATGCCAGCAAAAAAGGCATTTGAATAACATACAGTGTAACCCGGATATAAGAGACCCGGATATAAGAGAAACCCGGATATAAGAGAGATTTTCTCTGGTCCCAAATTAGAGCCTGTGTTAATGTATATAAAATAGACCAAACCCGGATATAAGAGAAACCCGATATAAGAGACTTCTTCTCCGGTCCCGACAACTCTCTTATATCCGGGTTACACTGTACTAAACTGCACAATTCTTTCTAACATAATCCTGATTTATATGTGTGGTTCATAAAACTTATATTCAAACGTTATCGTGAGTAAACTTATCCTTCTTTAAAAAAAACTAACAACAATTATATTTTCAGAACGTCCGATTAAATATCAATCATCTTCATTTTGTTTATCATAAATATATCAGTTCACATCAATCGAAATACAAATCATCGCCTCCTCATTCTTTCATCTAACTGTAAACCCATTTCTAGTGTTCATTTGTGTCCTGAAGATATTTCTGTTTTTCAATTCACATTGTTTCAAAAATTTTTAATTTGATACCTATCCAGCACTCGTTTAATCAATTTTCGCAAAATATCATTAAAATCCCTTTTTGCCTTCAGAAGATGACCGTGAAACAAAATAGACAAGAACTTTTTAATATATGTTACAAATATATTTGCTAAAATGATACCACCAACATGAGAGTAAATATGAGGCATGATCGAATTTAATGTGGGTACGTACCCAACACTTGCATGGAGGCAATATCTGTCCAGTACTATTGGTATATACCACAAGGTAAACCTAGAAAACTCTCTTCGAGCACAATGGCTATCTACTCATCTGAAGTTGGGTTCTTCAGGAACAAAGCACTATTTTTAGTGTAAATATTTTATGCTCTAAATATGAAGAACGATCGAATTTAATGCTGGTCTCTAACGCTTGGGTGGAGGCAATGTCTGTCCAGTTCTAGCAGAATATATCAAAATGTAGACCCAGAAAACAGTCCCTGTGCACAATATTTGTCTACTGACCTGGTGTTGGATTCTCCAGGATGCAAACAATATATTTGGTGTAAATACTTTTTTGCTCTAAATATGAAGAATGATCGAATTTAATGTCGGTCTCCAACTCTTGGTTGGAAGTAAAATCTGTCCAGTCCTATCGGCATATAGCACAATGTAGACCCAGAAAACACTCCCTGGTCCTAATGGCTGTCTATCTCTTCTAAAGACGATGCACAGATGATTAAAACCAAAAATCCAGGATAACTATGCGATAGAAACGATTATTGTAGATTTAAAAATGTCTACTCTGTATTTTAAAATAATATAAAAAGCAATAGATAATAATTCTTAATACCTCATAACATGAAAAAACAAGATATATATACGACGATGAATATGCTAAGATTTTTAACTAGGATAATAACATTATAAAAAACAAAAATTTGTAATTCCAAGGGATAATTTCTTGTTAAAACAGATATATTTCGGAAAGCTTTTGCAATCTTTGATCACTCTTGAGAAATAAATGAAACAGTGACTAAGTTACATTGTATATGTTATAAATTCAAATTAACAAAAAAATCGATCGAATTGAGTTCGCGAGACATGCGTAAGCTGAAAGCGTGAGAATTGCTTAAAGAAAGTAAGAAATGTCATTTCCAAACTAGAATAAAAAAATTACACCTTCTAGTAATAAAAATTAAACCGATTGAAAAAAAACAAAAAAAAATCTAGTGAAGTCATCAGCAATTGCACTTCACGCCTTCAAAGAAGGTCATGAAATAGACTTCGACAACCTGAATCAAAATTGACCAACCAACACAAATCCAACCAAAGACGGGTAGCTGAACAAATGATAATAGCAAGTACCGAAAATGTCTGTAATAGAATTAATGCAGCACAGCTTCACCCAGCATGGACTTCCCTACTTCAACGAAAAATACGAAAAGACTACGAGTATTTTTTTGACTCAGGTTTGGAAATGACATTTCTTTCTTCTTTAAGCAATTCTCACGCTTTCAACTTACGCATGTCTCGCGAACTCAATTCGATCGAATTTTTTCCGTTAATTTGAATTTATAACGTACATAATATAGCTTCGTCACTGTTTCATTTATTTCCCAAGAGTGATCAAAGATTGCAAAAGCTTTCCGAAATATATCTGTTTTAACAAGAAATTATCCGTTGGAATTACAAATTATTGTTCTTTTTAATTCAACTTCACCAATGGAATCAAGCGTTTTTACAGGATAATAGCATATTTGTTAAAATTACAGGATAATAGCATATTTGTTAATATTCAAAATCGAATGGTTAATAATCAAGTTATTTTTATGAGGAACTTATTCAAGTAGAGCTTATCTGCAGCATTTGATAGAAAATTCGGCGTCATGTTAACGTATCTGGAAACAAAATGTCTAACTCCATGACTTTCGCAAAAAAATCTCATTCATAAGAGGAATCGAAATAACTCGAAATTCATTTGTTGGCCTTCTATTTTTTTTAAATGAAGCTATCGAAAACTTGTGAAATTTGTGTTTTAGTTATAGCTTTATATTTCAAATTACTGCAAACATCACAAGGGGGTCCTATCTTGATCTTTAAATAATCATTTTTACACTGTAATATCATTTTATTTCAATATATGTACTGACATGCCAGAAGTGATGGGTTAGATCTCATATCTAGCCTGGCAATGTGTATTAAACCGATTTAATAAGTGATGAGAAGACATCTAGAGAGGTGGTAAGCTATGTTGTTTCGATAACTGCAGACAACTCCTTGATTGTTGTAGGTGCAGGATATTGCGTGCGATTAAACCTAGTCACCGCATATTGAAAATATCCTATTAATCTTCTGCCGAGCAAAGTTGCTGGTCGCAATATTTGTCGAAATGTGCTTAAAACCAAATCTTGGACAAAATGGGCCAGATGATAAAATGGGCCAGATGACAAAATGGGCCAGATGACAAAATGGCTGCCTTGTTGATAACAGGGAATCGTCAACGTCATGCGCCACACCGAGATCCTGTCCTAAACAACCCAAAACTGCTGGAACCATGACTTCTCAATCCGTACTACACGTTGCCAGATTTCCTGGGTCAAATTAGCGACTTTATGAGGTCAGATGAAGCGCTGTCTCTAGTATTGTGAAAGCTAAAGAACTCTTAACCGACCTTCTGGAACTGGTAGCACCACCTACTGTGTGTACGGATGTGATATGAGTCAGTGCCACATAGCTGTTATGCCACTGAACTCTCCACAGGGATTGTCTAGTTATCCCCGGTACCCAAGTGACATCATAGAATCGAAGGGTACGATTTCAGAATTGCACTATTCGTCTGGCTCCACTATCATGCTCAATTCGAGCTCAGATAATTCACATCTTCTTCCAATGAGCAGCACTGACAATGTTTACACGAACTTAGATGTTAACGTTCAGCTGATATAGGCTTTTTTAATACGATATGACGGTATAATGGTACCAGCTGCCACTACTTTAAATATTGCTACCCATGGCTTTTGGTGCGTCAGTGTACATAATTGATAAACAAGGACGTATAGTTTTAACGATGTCTATTTCCAAAAGACATTGATAACAATGAAAATATTACATCCACTTCCTCTTTCTGAAACTCATCATCATTACTCTCAACGCATTCATCATTGGCGTATCAAACTCAGAAAAATCCTTGCTCATCTCTATGTATTTTACTAATACTCTCTCTCTCTCTCTCTCT